AACTTCAGCCCTTCCGACGAAACTAAGCATAACCATAGAAGTAGCTATGGCATAACCAATATCTGTGCCCTACATATTATAGTAAAACTTTTCCCGTAGACCGTTCTATATTGCTGTTCTATATTAAGTGAAGAAAAATTAATTTACCCCCAAATCAATTTACAGCAAAATCTTGGGTTTGCCTGTGTTGTAGCGTATTGTATTGATGTTATATATTTCCGCGCTTTGAAGATTGTTCTTTGCCATAATCATACTCGATTAAAAATAAAATAATCGATCTCTTCAATCTCAGGATTTTTAACCGATAAATAAAATATTTATCTTAGGTGTCTTTCAACACGGTTTCAACAAATGCAAATTGTTTCAAAGTACTGATTTTTTGTCACGTTTATACAACACCTCACATAAGTAATTCACAAGGTAAATCTGATGTCGGGCATACCTGGAATGAATTCCGAAGCACTTCCAATTGCCCTTCCTATAATGTCGTCATGATCTCTGTAGGACTCGTGACAGTCGTGCATCCACACGTTATTTCTTCTGTGCATCGATAGATCGTAGTCGTCTTTCCAGTCTTTCATTTGTGTGTAATCTCCAGTTGTCTATCTTGACGAATTACGTGGAACCGGCGTAGTTGTGCTTGGGCGGAACAGGAGAGTGTGCTGACTATGTATTCCATTAGATCTCCAATCCGTTTCCAATATTATCCATATTGTTGCCAAAGGAGACCAAACATTTTCTTAAGGCGCTGCAAGCTCATGTGACTTATCGACTGTTTGAGCTCATGGTTTTACCTGTTTTATATACTACGTTCTTGGTATATGTTTCGTAACCATTCCCATTTGCTTCAGCTGTCTGTACGTTATTTGCCTCAAACCGTTTTGTTCCAATTTAATTAATGCTTGTCTTGCTGGTTGACTCAGAAGCTTTGTATAAGCAGGCACATACACGGTACCTGATTATCTAGTCGATAATGCATATCATTAAATACCTTGACTTATCGCGTCTTTTTAGGTCTACTGTCTAGGCCTATTTCCCTGCATTAATGATCGACTCTACTCTGCAGATTCTTTGCTGTAATATAAATCATCATGTTAATCCCCCCCCCCTTTTGCTCTCCTCGAAAGTAAAAGCCAACATGGTTGGTTTTAAACAATTATAATCAATCACTTTACACAGCTGTCATGTCAAAATATGGTATGCAGCGTTTATAATATAAAATGAAAGAGAAATGTTGAAAATGCAGCTATCATCGCCCGTGCTTAATTAAGCAGCATTCGCAACTAATATCATAGTTTTTTAAATTATATTTAAATAAGGATTTTCTTTTATCTCCTTCCCCTCCTTTTTTTTTTATTTTGCGTGTGTACATGTAATGCTAATCCACGCGAATTCTATTAAGAATTGCTTTTTCTCTCTTTTTCTCAGGAGGGCTTTATCAGTTAAAAGTGGTAGAACAGATATTTTTCATATTGTCTTAGGATAAGTACTGCGGAAAAATCTTAACCGCTAAACACAGCGACATTGAAATGGAAAATTTTAAAAGAGCGTCGGGATTGCACCTTCATTATGGATTACCGTCATGAAACATTAATATATTATCGACCGTATTTTGTCCTCTAATACCTTTCATTGGGTTCATTTATCGTTACAATGGGGCATTATGGCTTGGTTTTCGCAAGTGATGAATCACTCAGCTCATTTTAGAAACAAATTCATCAAGAGAATCGATATGTCGACCATATGGATATATACCGTTTGAACGATCTACGTGTAACTTGTTGAAACTGAGATAAAGGATGACTTAAATTGCATAAATTAGGAAAACTTTAAACATGTCATTCTTAGTATATTCAGATTTCGAGCTTTTAAAACTTCAATATATTATTTCAGTGCACTCGGATCCGCGCTTCTATAATAAATCCTTACGTGCGCCATTCCATAAAACAGCCATGCGCCTTACAAAACTAAAATTAAAAAAAATATCGAATATAAAAAGAAAGTAAAGACATTGTAACCAAACTAAAATTAAAAAAAATATCGAATATAAAAAGAAAGTAAAGACATTGTAACCGTCGTGTTTCCATTATCGTATTAATGAATTTTCTACACATTGTTGGGTTTATATCAATTACAAGAAATACAAATATGTCCTTACTGATACGTTTGCATTATCTTTTTCAAAGTACTAGAAGTAGCTAAAAATGTAATCATAAATAAACATTGCATCAATATAAGCAGGACTTAGATAAAATTTGCTTGCTTTTCTGTAGGCAAACTCATTAATGCTAGCACAGGAAAGAAAGGAAAAAAAGAGAAATCTCATTTCAAAATTTTATTAACAACAACAACAACAAAAAAAAGGCATATTATGCATGTACAATACATCACTGTCTTTAACATTTTTGTTCTTGTCAATGCTTCCACACAATTTAGTATTTATTCAGAGGTATTTTCATATTTATACTTGCATAGTTTTCTAGACAGAGGTCACATGGAACTTATGTTTACTCATACCTTTACCCTTTTCCAATTGCTACTTGATATATGTTTAAAAATTTGAACTTCAAACATTTAAAAAAAGATTTTGTAAAAAAAAAAAAAAAAAAA